TGAAAAGATGCTCCTCACCATATAGATTTTCAAACAAATGAACCCCTTAAATATGAGAAAATCTCGAAAATGATAAATTTTTTATGTTTAATTTCATTAGTTTTTAAAAGAAATTTTGATAGAACTTAAACTGATAAAACAACATAGTACGATGAGACAAGCTAATGTCTAAGGTAATTGTAAGAGGCTATAGAATGCATGTTTTCATCTACAACCGAATATGGATGAAGAAAAAACCTTTATTTTAATGAAAATGATGATGAAATGAAATAAAAAAGAATAATTTTTTACTTCCACAATAACACCAAAACAACATGAGAAAGAACCAACGTATTAGCTCAAAGGGATGAAATAGAATTAACAATAGAAAAAGAGGACAAAATTAAAATAAATTAAAATGAGGTAATCTAAGTAGGTATTTACCCTTATATATCTTCTAATAATAAATAATTGGAGAAACAATGACTCCCGAATGAATCATAGCACCTAAATTTAATACTTATTATACAACGAGAAAATGCTTAGATATAAGCCGATTCTTATGATTATTTACAGTTTTTGGTGGGACAAACAGGCACATGATTTCGCCGCCGAGAAAATGTTTCTGAATTCTGTCATTTCAAAGCAAAAAGAAAAGGACATATTTTTGAAAATTTTTGGAAAAACTTGAAGAAAATTAGAGGGTTCTTTTTTTTTGTTGTTGAAAAAATTGGTCCATTTTGACAGGAAAAAAAAACAGGATGATGTAAACCAATTTCCCCCACCTCAGTAATGATTATGACTCCATTTTCATGGGGCGAACAGAAAGTCATGGACTTTGGTATGAAATAAATTCTTTCACCTTTATGCTCCACCACCATATGTGCTTTTTACCAAAGTTACCTACTTACCTGTCCTACAATATTTATTGCTTTCTGAATATTCTTCAAAGCCAATTCCTTTTTCCCCTTAAAAAGAAGAAAAAGAATGAATGTTCCTGAAAAGTCCGAATCCGAGGACCCCCAGGAGGGACATGGATCGAGGAAATGGTGGGCGAAAAACAATAAACCGTTGTATAAAGTTGAGTTGGGGTGCACACTTTGCTCAACATATTTTTCTTTCTTAATGGGCTTGTGGAACCATGTTTCACTATGACCCAAGTGTGCATATAAGACCATCTACATCACTCTTTCAATCTCAACAAACCATTTATTTTACTTGGTCCAATCATATGTATTTTGGTGAAATTAATAGTTATAGTTCAATCAATGCATGAATACTCACTCGACGTTATTGGTGTAGTTTTGTTAAAAATGGTTAATAGAGCGGCAACAACTACAACCACATAAAAACATAATTAAAGAGAAAACGTATAATGTATAAATTAAATAACACATAAAATTATGGGTAAAGTATTTAATAGTCCATAAACTTTTAGGACGCTTGCATTTTGGTCACCCAACTTTTGAAACTTGCAATACAATCATCGAACTTTTAGTTCGTTTCCAGTAAGGTCCTTGTCGTTACCTCCCGTTAGTTTTTACTGACGTGACACCTAACTTTCGTCAACCCCCTTCTTATAGCTCTTATTCTTCTTCTCAATCTCTTTTTTTTTCTTAACCAATGACAGACGGAGGAGGCATGATCGACTGGGTTTTGGTCGGAATGGTGTGAGGACTCCAACGGTGGTGATGGTGTGGCGAATGGACGGTCCAATCGACCAAAAATCAATGAAAACAAAAAAGAGGCGTTGGGGTTTTTTGATGAGATTCGGGTCATCTCCATGGCGAACAAATATGAGTCTCGACAAGTGACTAAGGGGTTTTAGTCAGAATGGTCTTCTCACGATTTGAGACAAACGATGGACGATGAGTATGAATTGAGGGTCGAGGTGTGGTCGGGAGGCAACGCCGATGACGATGGTGATGGCGGTGTAAGCCATCGCTGACCAAAGGTGGGGTGACAAGAGGTATGAGAAAAAAAGAAGAGGAAATGAAGAACAATAAGAATAAGGGGTTTAACAAGGGGTTGACAGGGTTAGGTGCCACGTTAGCAAATGTAATGGCAGGGACCTTACTAAAAACGAACTAAAAGTTCGATGATTGTATTGCAAGTTTCAAAAGTTTGGTGACCAAAATGCAAGTGCCCTGAAATTTTAGGGATTGATGATATACTTTAACGTCACCTCGACTTATCAAGATGATATTTATTTAGGGTTGAATTTAACCAAAATAAAAGTGCCCTAAAAGTTTCATAGAGCATTAGTAGTTTGATCGTTTAGGGTTGAATTTGACGTCACCTCGACTGATTAAGATGACACTTATTTGTTATCTTGTTAATCTGTCCTACTTCGGATCCTCGGATTAAATTTGGATATGAGGTCTGATAGTTTTCTCATAATGTTCAACTCTTATTTGTTGTTGTCGGTGGCCTTTCAATAGCTTGAGTTCATGTTATAGTTCGTTTGTTGATGCATTCGGATTTATTCACGATTATATTTTGTTTGAATTTTTGGATGGGTTTTTAACTTTTTCAATGTATGGTCCTTATAGAATCTTAAGTGACTAGTTTATTATATGAACGATTATAAGAAATGTCCTAATTATGTGTTAATTTACGGCATTTTCTGATACAATCAACGTTCGATCTTCCTTGTGGTCATTGGTGCTCAAACCCGTGACTTCTAAGAACAATAACAATTTCTTCAACCACTGAGATAAGTTGATTTGTGCCATCAAAGTACTAAACTATTTGATGTAAAGACGAATTTTATTAAATATATTTTTTATTATTATTTAGTATGTGAGCAGGAAATGTGTTTTGGAGAAAGCATTTGTTTAAGAAACATTTTTGTACTAGGCGACAGAAAAAAAGGATATTAATTTGAAAAATAATTAAATATAAATATTAGAATAAAAATAATTTTTAATAGGTGAAGAAAAGCCGTATTTATAATAAAATTAATTTTTTTTTTACCTTAAATGGAGGCACGGTGAGATTCAATTTTATACTATGGTGTTAGTAAAGACGAGCAAAAGAAGTTCAAAAAGCCCGTGACCTATCCAATTGCAATAATTTCACATGCCACCTCCATCCCAGGCGTGCTCCTGGTGTTCGCTACACAGACAAAGATCCCTAGTTCCTTTGATAAGCCAAAACAGAAACAATTTTGAGCTGACGAAGAACTGTAGACTAACACCGTAAACCAGATGGATATCAGTTTCGAGGCGTCATCCTCTTTGAGTATTCCAGAACACGTTTTGAGTTCCAGTGGCAGGCCGATGCGCTTTTGGGATTCGGCACTGCCGCTTCTCCACCGGTGGGATCACAAGTTACGAAAGCCGCGATTCTCCAAGCGACTGAACTCGGTTATCGCCACTTCGATACAGCTTGTTTGTACGGCACAGAGCGGCCACTTGGTGAAGCAATCGCCGAAGCTGTTTCGGTTGGGTTAATTAAATCTAGATATAAGCTCTTCATCGCTTCCAAGCTCTGGTGCAGTGATGCCCATGGCGAACTTGTTCTTCCTGCCCTTCACAGGAGCTTAAAGTAATACCCACCACTTGATCACCACCTTATGTATTACATACGATTTTCAGTAATCTAAACTGTTTGTTTTGCAGAAACCTGGGGATGGAGTACCTTGATCTTTATCTCATTCATTGGCCAGTAAGCTCAAAGCCTGGGATTTAAGAGTTTCCCATAAAACAGGAAGATTTCATCGCAGTGGATTTCAATGCCGTATGGAAAGCTATGGAAGATTGTCAAAGGCTTGGACTAACAAAATCCATTGGTGTCAGCAATTTTTCCTGCAAAAAATTGGCTCACATCCTTGCCTTTGCTAAGATCCCGCCTGCTGTTAACCAGGTAATATTCCCTATCTCGAACGCACTTGAGTCTGATTTTTCGAAATCTATTGAAAGGTTTCAGTAATAAAAATGATCTTCATTTCATAGAAGATCTGGGTTTGAACAAATTCGTTTTCATTATTCTGCTAACAATGTTTTTGGCTAGGTGGAAATGAACCCATTGTGGCAACAAAAAAAAGCTAAGAGTTTTCTGCAAGGAAAATGATATCCTCTTGACTGCTTATGCTCCACTGGAAGCGCAAGGTACCATTTGGGGCACCAATAGAGTTCTGGAGTGTGAATTGCTCAAGGAAATTGCAAAAGAGAAAGGGAAGACAGTTGCTCAGGTGTTTTTTAATCCCCCCTCCCCCCCACATACAAAAAGGAAATACATCTGCTCTTTTTTCTTTCCTCCAATTTTGTATGAAAAATGAAAACGATGATTGATGTATTCAAAAACAGATTTGTTTGAGGTGGGGGTTTGAGCAAGGGGTCAGCATATTGGTGAAGAGTTTGAACAAGATGAAAAGCAACCTTGAGATATTCAACTTGTCGTTGAGCCAAGACGAATTGAGAAAGATCGATGATATCCCACAAACCAGAATTTGCTGTGGAGAAGATTATATCTCCAAATACGTTCCTTTCAAGACTAAAGAGGAACTTTGGGATGGAGAAATTTGATCTCATGTAAGATAAAACAGAGCAAACTATAAAAAAAAATGCTTCTTCATATCAGAAATGTTCAGGCTATTGGGATTCATCGTAATAAAAACCATAAGAAATTCCTGCAGATAGGAAAGGATCATATTAATAGAGTATATAAATTTTAGGGACTAAAGCTATTATCTGTATCACCGTCTACATTAAAAAACAATTAAACCTTAACCATCGATGATCAAAATAAATTGAAAATAAAATGTTAATGACCAAAATGTCAAACAAATAGTTTAATGACCAAAGTAGAAATAAGGTAATAGCTGATCTATCAAATAGTTTGCCAAAGAAAAATCAAAGTAAACTTTCCACATGACCTGCTTGCCTTCAATTTATCATTTATGGCTGTCATAACATTCACATAAGGTCGAAAAATATATCGGTTTTTTTGGCCACAAACTCAAACTCAGCTTTTATCTAGTACCAAGGCTTTGAACTTCATTCAGTAATTCAAACAAGGAGCAGAAGTTTGATTTGTAGAAAAACCAACCATGCAGATGGGAAGTAGATCAGTGGCAACATCTTTTAGGATTCCGGAACAGGTTTTGCCGTCAAGCGGGCGGCGGATGCAGCGTTTGGGCTTCGGGACGGCAGCCTACCCGCTGGTAACACCGGAAGTTACAAAGCAGGCGATTCTCAAAGCAATCGAGCTTGGTTATCGACACTTTGATACGGCTCATATCTACGGATCGGAACAGCCGCTTGGCGAAGCAATCGTTGAAGCAATTTCGCGTGGCTTAATTAAATCTCGAGACGAGCTCTTCATCACTTCCAAGCTCTGGTGCAGTGATGCTTACGGAGATCTTGTTCTTCCTGCACTTCATAGGAGCTTGCAGTAAACATATGATTATATTTCCTTTACATACATAACATGGTAACTTCTGGCTAAAGTTTTAAACTGTTTCTACTGTAGAAATCTCAAGTTGGAGTACCTCGATCTCTATCTTATTCACTGGCCTCTGACCTTAAAACGAGGTAGATATGAGTTTGGAGTAAGGAAGGAATATATTTTACCCATGGATTTCGGCTCCGTGTGGGCAGCCATGGAAGATTGCCAGAGGCTTGGCCTTACCAAGTCCATTGGTGTCAGCAATTTTACCTGCAAAAAATTAGCTGACCTACTTGTCTTTGCAAAGATCCCTCCGGCTGTTAATCAGGTATAATATTAACGAACTCATTCACTTGTCTCAGTTAAGGGTGAGTATTTGATCGAGTTGAGTCGAAAGATTTCGAGACAATTGAGTAAATGAGTTTTATAACTCAAACATGATTTGAATTTTTTTCTAGTAGAATTATTTAAATTTTTGTTTAAATTTAATTATAAATATTTACAATATTATGATAATATTTGATTCTGATTTAAACTATTTTCTATAACCATACACAATATACATATATATATATTTCTTAATATTTTTTCATATGTGATATATATATATATATATCATACAAAATTGAGAGACTATTTTCTATAACCATACACAATATACATATATATATATATATATATATATATATCATACAGAATTGATAGATAGATATATATATATCATATAGAATTGAGGGACTCGGCTTGGACTTGAAAATCAAACCACTAATTAGTAAAAAAATTGAATTATTCGAGTCCTATTTTATAACTCAACTCGAATTCGAAATTTTTCGAGTTGAGTTGAAAAATTCAATTTTTTCAAGTCCAATTTTGTTCAACTTACTCTAAGTAGTAACGGAAAATATTATTTTTCTTATAATACTTGGATTTCAACAGCTGCATTCAATTTGGTTCCAATGTTGGAATATATAGTGAAAAAAGTTGCAACTTTTTGCTAGGTGGAACTCAACCCACTGTGGAACCAAAAGAAGCTAAGAGAATTTTGCAAGGAAAATGGGATCATTGTCGTGGGTTACTCTCCATTGGGAGCCTCAGGAACCCTTTGGGGCAACAATAAAGTTCTTGAGAATGAAGTGCTCAAGGAAATAGCGGAGGCAAAAGGGAAGACGGTTGCTCAGGTCGGGTGTTTGTTAATTTCCTTAAAAACTAAAGCTGTTTTAAAATTATGTGAGATAAGATCTGATTATTATTAATCCAAAAGCAGATATGTCTGAGATGGGCATTTGAAGAAGGCGTGGGTGTAATAGTGAAGAGCTTCAATGGGGAGAGGATGAAGCAAAACCTTGAGATATTCGATTGGTCATTGAGCAAGGAGGACTTGATAAGGATCGATGACCTCCCACAAAGCAGGGGCTGCACCGGAGAATTATTTGTCGATGAAAGTGGAACTTTCAAGTGCGTCGAGGAGTTCTGGGATGGGGAAGTTTGATTTGCTATTTTCGATTACTGCAAAATTTGTTCTCACAACTACTTTCACTTCAGGAGTATACGGTAATGGTTATGTGTACTAATGAATACAGTATTTTACGTTTCTAAAGTTACGCAATCAAAGTGTGGATTTTCGTTTGGAGATATTTATTTATTCTTTATAGTAATTTTTTTAATATATAAACATACTCTAAAAAATTGTTATTTGAACCTAAAATCCCAAAAAAATATAATGCCTCTTTTAACATTGAAATCACTTTACAAATTACCCTTTGAGACAAAATTATTTATATAAAATAAATTATTTTTAGAACTAAAACTCTTATTATTGTATCAGGTGGAAATGATACGATGATTTCTGTCTGAAATTGATACGTAGGAAAGTCGTAGTATAATTCTGACCACTTTAAGAAGTCGACATATAATAAAAAAATAATTGGTATTACCTATTATATGAGCAATTTTTCATTTCATTCTATTATTCAAGCAAAATTACCTCTCTGAATATATTTATATTAGAGTAAAATTCAGAATGGACCTGTATAATTCAAATCCACGTGGCGTAGAATCTTTCTTATAGGCAGACAGCACAAATTGGGATCCATTAATATACACGAAGTACCAAAATGCAGTATAATTCCCAAAAAAAAAAAAAAGACTAGAGAGGATCCACAAGTCAAACGCGACCGCTAGATCAAAATTAGCTTAAAAAAAGCTCTGATTTGAAACATCGAACAAAACTAGATTAGCGCCGCCAAGCAGATTTATCAGCAGTTTGGGGATGGAAACAACTTCTTTGAGTATCCCAGAGCACGTTTTTGGCTCCAATGGCGAGAAAATGCCACTTCTGGGTTTCGGAACCGCGGTCTCCCCACCAGTAGGAGCTGAAGCTACAAAAATGGCGATTCTCCAAGCAATCAAACTCGGTTATAGACATTTTGATACGGCGGTCAGGTATGGATCGGAGCAGCCGTTGGGCGATGCGATTCAAGAAGCACTTTCGATTGGGTTAATCAAATCTCGAGACGAGCTCTTCATCACTACTAAGCTATGGTGCGGCGATGCTCATGGCGAACTCGTCGTCCCCGCCCTCAAGAGAAGCTTACAGTAAGAACAAATGTAAATATATTGTTCTGTCTCATATAATTATACGTAACTTCTGTTTGTCTAAAACTTTGCAGAAATCTCAAGTTGGACTACCTGGATCTGTTTCTGATTCACTGGCCTGTCAGCGCGAAGCCTGGGACTTGTGGATTCCCAATAAAGGAAGAAAATTTCCTTCCCTTGGATTTCAAATCTGTATGGGCAGCCATGGAAGATTGTCAGCAGCTTGGCCTCACAAAATATATTGGTGTCAGCAATTTTTCCTGCAAAAAGTTAACTGATCTCCTCGCCATTGCAAAAATCCCTCCGGCTGTTAACCAGGTAATTAACATCTCTCACTCTATTGAGGTATATGTTTTCGAAGTGTATGTGTAATGTGCCGTAAAGGAACATACGCTATTTTATATTCAGGTAAACTTGTAAAAGTTTTAAAGAATCAGTATATAAAGTTCTAGAGATGAAAATATACACACCGTCAATTTCCTCTATTCATACTTGTGTCGGAGAGTCCAGCAAACTTGAACATTCTATCACACATAATAGCAGATTCACTAAGGGTCGATTGATTGTGTTCACTTTAAAATTTTATTTGTATCCACTATGTGTACAAAAATTATAACTAATATATATGTAGACCCTAAAAAGTTATTTCTAAATCCGCTATTGATTACCATAAATTTTGATTTGGATTTTGGAATAACAATGATATATGATTTCATGGAAGGTGGAAATGAGCCCATTGTGGCAACAAAAGAAGCTGAGGGAATTTTGCAAAGGCAAAGGGATCTTTTTGACAGGTTATTCCCCATTGGGTGCCATTGGAACCTTTTATGGAAGCAATAGAGTGATGGAGTGTAAGGTACTTAAAGAAATCGCAAAGGCAAAAGGGAAAACTGTTGCTCAGGTATTTTTCCACCCCTTGTTTTTTTAGGTTTGTTTTTCTGGATTTGGGATTTTTTTTTAAAGAATTGATCATAAAACAGATATCTCTGAGATGGATATATGAACAAGGGGTTGGGGTGATTGTGAAGAGTTTCAATGGTGAGAGAATGAAACAAAACCTTGAGATATTTGATTGGTGTTTGAATGAGGAGGAGTTGAAGATGATCGATGGGATCACTCCTCAAAGCAGAGGGGTAAATGGAGCGCCTTTCACTTCCAGATTTGGACCTTTTACAACTGTTGAGGATATTTGGGACGGTGAAATGTGATCTTCTTCTTCACCAACAATTCTCATTCTCAGCTTCATTATTCCTAAATAAATGCTCGACTCCTGACAAGGTCGACGCCCTTTCTTTGTTTTAATTATGGGTAAACTACGCCCTCCATTATTAGCTTTGAAATATGGGTAAATTACACCCTTTCATCACTTGAGGATATTTGGGACGGTGAAATGTGCTCTTCTTCTTTACCAACAATTCTCATTCTCAGCTTTATTATTCCTGAATAAATGCTGGACTCCCGACAAGGTCGACGCCCTTTCTTTGTTTTAATTCTGGGTAAACTACGCCCTCCATTATTAACTTTGAAATATGGGTAAATTGCACCTTTTTCATCACTCAACTATCTTCCCACAGCTATTTTGGTCACTAAAGTTTAAAAACTTTCAATTTAATCATTGAAAAGAATAGATAAGATGTTTGATCGATTCACCAACATCATAAATGAGTTTAAGTCAAATGAAAAGAATATCCTAATAAAACGATGACGAAGATGTTGGGTAGCTTACCAAAATCTTGAGAAGCTAAAGTAACTGTCATTAAGAAAGCAGAGGATTTGGAAAAGCTCTCTCTTGATGAGCTTACCATTTCTTTGCTTACACATGAAAATGAAGCTCAACAATGAGCTATAAGAAGAGAAAGGAGAAAAGAAGAGGGGTTGCCCTTAAATTACAATTAAGGAAGACAATGAGCTATATTTGTTAAAAGATTGATGAGATTAAACACCCCCCCCCCCAAACAAAACAAAAAAGATCTCAAATAAAATAAGTCTCAAAGCATAACCTAACAAAGAGAGCATATCAAGTTTGGTTATCTACAATGAAAGAAAAATGAATCAAACAAACAAAAAACACAAGGTCAATGTAACCTCTTGGAGTGATACATATTCTTATGATGAAGAAGAAGTAATCAATTTGTGCCTAATGGTCATTAAAGACCCAAAGGTAACTTCTAACTCATCTATTTCAATTTCTTACTCATTTGATGACTATGCCTGTTGAGTTTGAAGTTTGAAATCATGATTTCAAAACTATTTTGAAAAATGAAAGTTGAAAATAACTTACTCTCTAAAAGCCAATAATGAACTTGAGAAAGTAAATGTAAGATTTTTTTTGGTTTAATGATTAATAAGCTACCCAGCAGATATTAACAAACTATTATTTCATTATTCACATATAACACTTATAAAAAGGTACAACTTTAAGCTATTTTCCAGCCGCCATTTCCTGCCATTAAAGAAAAATCCACGAATTTAACCGGTGAACACAATGCACGGATGAATTTAATAATACAACAATTTATAGCAGTTATCAAATTCTATTACCATTAGAAAACCCTGCATACAGAATCCACTGTAAGATTGACAGTGCAAATCACTTCACATAGCGAATAGGAAGCAATTAGAATAGCAAGGCAGATGCAGTGCACTGTCTTCCACAACCATCGGCTGCCTGAACGGATTTAACTGAATCTACAGGACAGAAGCAACACATGAATCATTAAAGTAAGCAAATAAAACTTCCAAAATATATGTTCAAAACTCATGGGGAAGTGGGCATGGGATGTTAGGTGGGGGGAAATGTGAAGGAGAACAAGCAGATTACAGGAAGCCTGGGGGGCTGGCTTGTAACGGTGTTTATGCAGCATGTTGCAAGATGACAAGCTTCTTCACAATAGTCGGAAAATACGGCAGGGACATTTATCTTCTTTATTAGCTCCTGATATGAAGATTAAAAAACCAAATTTAAGGGAGGGAATTCTGAAAAGCTCAAGCAAAAAGGCCAGCAAAATATTGAAAGCTTTGAGCTTTCACAGAAACAGATACTTGTCCAAAAATCATAAAGTGAAAACAAAAATCTAGATGGCGTAACGAAGACATACTATAGTGGGTAACCAACTTGCATAAGCTGCCACGCCAGCATTTGGAGCAATAACCAAGTGTGGGAGGGAATCCTGTTACACGAGATACTCTTAGGAAACCAAGGGTCTATTTGTTTCACATAAGACATTTTCCGGAAAATATTTTCCAGTGTTTGGTTGGAAAAAAACAAATTGGTCAATGTAAAACATTTTCCTGATCAACAGAATTTTCTTTGCATTTTGTGGAAAATGACTTACTGTTTGATTTTCCGTAAGTCATTTTCCGAACTTTTCACTTCAAAACATAAATACTCAAAATAGTATTACGTTATGTATTTAATATTAATATGATATTTTAGTATCATTTCGATAAAAATATTAATTATTAACATATTTAAAATATATTTATTAATATTTTTAATAATATAATATTATTATTACAATAATATACTCAATTATATTATAATATATGATACTATTATATTCTTATTTTAATAATATATAATAAATTATTAATAAAAGTTATATTATTTATTAATTTCTTAAAAATAATATTATTGAATTATTAATAGTGAATAATATTATTTATGTATTTAATATTAATATCATAGTCTAATAATATTTTAATAAAAATCTTTAAAATGTATTTATTAATAATTTTAAAAATATAATATAATATTTTTATTTTAATAGAGTATACTAGTCTTAATATTTTTATTTATAAAATTATAGAAATAATATTTTAATAATAATATTATAGCATAAATAATATAAATAAATTATTCTAATAATTTTAAAATAATAATATTAAGTTTTTATAATAAATAATATTATTTATTATATTTCATATTTGTAATAAATAATTTCTAGAAAATTTATCAACTACTGAAAAATGGTTTACACAACATCTTCCAATAACATTTTCTAAAAAATGTTTTCCAAAATATGTAATTCATTTTACGGAAAATGTTTTCAGTAAAACAAGGGGACTAAGTACTCAATAGAATTGATACAATTCCCAAGATGAAAAGCTTTACATGAAGAGACCAAAAGAGGAAAAGACAAGGAAACACAGACCTTAGATACATCTATGAAACGCTCATGATAGTATCCTCTATGTAGTTGCAGTGTCACCACAGAAGATGTACGAGCACCTACGCCACAGCTGATGTTCTCATTTTTGCATTTGCAATTGCAATCTTGCTCAATGCAACGGGCATAGCTGTGTAGATCAATCTTTTCACCATCTCTATGAATTAAATGGAAACAGGAAGGATTAGCAATTCCCAGCACAAGTTTGAATCAAACCATCAATCGTAAAATGTTGGCTCATTTAGAAGAACAACAATAGATCGAAGAGCAGTTTTCTAATACAGCCACCACAAATGCAAAATTAAACCTAAGAGGGAAGTTTTAACAGTTCAAGGAAAAAGGCCTATTTATGATAAGGTATTGAAACAGAGCAACCTGTCGAGCCCCAAAATCTAGATAAGTTGACAATTTAATCAATTCCCAACCAAACCAACTAGTTTGGGTTGTACTTCTAGTAAAGAGACACAAGAAGTATAAGTTCCACAAAAAATAAAGGGCAAAATCAACCTATGATGTGGAACTGCAGGTCCAATAAGCTCAATTTGAAGAAGAACCCCAGAAAACATTGCACGTAACTCTCCAAAGACTGCAAGTTGAAGTAGCTCCTTCTCAGGTCCTTTGAACATACAAATAAAAGGAACACTTAAAATTTAGATAAACCATATTAAGACTACAAAAAGAAAAGATAAAAACACTAAGAGGGGGGGGGGGGAATAAGAAAAGACTAATTTTCTAAGGAAAAGGAAAAGAGCCACACAAGCGTGCATAAATAAACATATCACATTTCTTAAAAAATAATAGAGTGCTCCGTGTTGATGCATCATTACTTAATGATAGTATCCACTCTTCTCATGCATCAGCAGCTAGTTTCAAATAAGTGCTAGCTAATTGAACACCTAGATGAATGCATATAGAAATTGCAAAGGGAGATTTAAAGCTAAAGATGATAGTGTACCAAGATAGTGTATGCGCAGTTTTCTGATTTCAGAGGTCAAGCTTCCCAGTCCAGTAATTTGTATTGCATGATATATTGTAAGTGGCTGAGACAAAAAAAATTGAAAAGATATATAATTAGTGTTAACATATGCAAGCTACTTGGAACCTACAAGATATAGCATTTACTCAAATTTGCATTTCTTCAAATTTGCATTTCTTCAAATTTGCATTTATTCAAATTTGCATTTAGATTCAATGACTTAATGATTTATTAATTTCCTTTAATTAAGTTTCTAAATTTACTCTCAGAGAAAATTTGTTTTTAGATATCATTACAGCAGAAACCATAACTAAACCTTTTGGAAATCGGGACTAGGGAGGCTACTTAGCATTTGATCATATATTTCTAAACAGACGAAAAGTAAAGCACCTTATAGAATTGAATGATTATTAGTTATAAACTAACAAAAACACTAAAATATCATCCTCTGTTTCCACCATAGAAGAATAAAGAAATCATAAGTAAAAGATGTGCAATAAAAACCAGTTGATGATTAGAATGATAAAGTAGTAACAAAGAACTGATTCTATAGCATATATTAGCATCCCATACCCAGTGAAGCAGCAAAGAAACAGGTGATTGTAATGGTATGCACCTCCACTCATAGTAATCCTTCCAGCTGCACAATTGTTTTGCTATTGGAGACGAAGGCTCTGCACTATTACAAGGTTAAATCTAGAAGCATCCATTAACCCATACAAAAAAGTTGGAAGTCTAGAAGCAAAAGTGATACCGTGACATGGGCACAAGATATTCGAGAGATTCCAGGTATCACTTTCAAACCTTCAAACAAAGTTAAAGTGACCATAAGTTTCATCTGAACAACCACAAGCAATCAACTAGTTAAAGGGTCACACTCTCCATCTAGCAAAGGCTTAACATATCATCACTGAAGACTTAAGAATCGGGAGATTGAAGAAAACCTGGAATTACCAAAGGAAGTAACCGATGCACCACAAGAGCATTCACAAGCCCACATCCCCGCTAGATGAATGCCCCTCCTGCTCAAGAATGAACACCTACTCTCTTGCTTTTCACTAATCTACCCAGGCAACCAATTCAATTTAAGCCTAACATAAGTTTAAATGCAATGTTTTATCGAACCCCTTAGTTTCAAGCAAGTTGCCAGTTACCTGGAGCGTAGATTCTACAGAAAACGAGAAAGGAAAATCATTCAACAAATCTAAGCGCTTCATTTGCTGCTCTAACCTTTCACACTCTTCTCTATGTTCCTTCCAGTGAGAAATCTAGGTGCAATTTTATCACAAGTAAAATTAAGTTTACGTAGAAATAACATGGCATATAATATGTTGGAATTATTTCCTTTCTTTTTTACTTTGAAATTGAAGAACCTGATGAGAAGCAGAGCAATAAGAAACTGCTCCACAGCGGCCGCACCGCTTTCTCGGGGGACCTAAGCACCGAGTTCCCCTCCCCTTCGCAGCACACTCCATTAATCAGACTTCGGCTATTTTCTTTTCTGCCGGTTCTCCGACTGGGAAGACTCAGGTTCATAATATGGGCAACGAATGCTGCTTTGGGCTTGTTAGATGGTGGCCCATTTACAAACTAGCTCCGCCCTACTCTTGCCAATAATTTCTTTTGGGCGCGTGGGTTGAATGTCTAAAGCTATCACTTTTTCGGAGATCACCTTTGAAAATTGTTAGTTATTTATCAGTTAAAATTTTTAAATAGATCCTTTTGATTATTAAAATTTTAAAGAAAATTATATCTCGTAGATACACTACGGTATATAGACAAGACCTTTAATAACACATATAATCTATCAAAACGATATTTGAAACTTAATTATCAAGTTTATATACATAGTCAGGTAATTTATGAGTAGTTGTCACAGTTACTCTATACTACTGCTGACACCACAAATTAAGACTATTATAAATAACTCTTAATTACTTCTCTTATACTACTTTCTTCTTCTTTATATCTTTCACTTTTTTTAAAAATGAAACACCAATCAACATCGTCGTCTTATGATTTTTCACTTAAATTAAAATAGACAAATAATCGATAACCAACATAACTCATATATTCTTATCAATAAAGTCATTGCTCCAATTTCACATATCATATATTTAAAATTCACACTTTGTTTTGAAGCAGAAGATACGTTGAGGAGAAATCATTAACACCAGTAAAACTAAGTCAATGCTCGTCATCTACGTGTGAACCAAGTAGCAAGGAAGGAATGGCCATACTCGTATATCCCAACTTTCTGAAAACCACCACACACACAAAGGATAAGGTGCCAAAATAAAGGTGTGAAAAGGACAAACACGTCAAATCTTTATAAATTCCATTTATTTCCCAAAGTTAAAAGAAAAGCTTGATTTCATAACTATCATAATAAATAGAATAAATAATATAATTTTTATCGATTGAACAAATTTCATACTCATTCAATAAATTTGAAAGAAATAATCAAGGAAAATGCTACTTCAGCGAGGGTAAAGAAACGTAACCAAGGTAGAAGACGACCAGGAAACGTGTTTATCTCGTGTGCTGTAGTAATAATATATGAAAAGAAAGAAAACTGGAGGCAAAAAATAGTAGAGATTTGAAGCGTGTGTACCAGGATTTCAGTGTGGAATGACGCTCCCGTGAAAACGATGGTAAAAGTTCTTTGTTTTCGGCTTAGCCAACTTCCAAGAACTTGTGTTTGTGTGGCCACACTATTATTTATATTAATTTCATTTTCTAAAAGAATTTAAATGTAAATACAACAAAATAAAATATTCAAATGCCTAGGGTTTGCTTACAAATTCTACTTGTACTGAAGTTTATAAATATCCACTTATCCTCCCAAGTTCAGATAAAAACTTGTTTTTTCGTTTTCACAAATTATATTTAGGGTGTGTTTCAGTATCGTATTATAATTATTTAATGTGATTATTAAAATTTTTTATTTTTTTAAATATATTTAACCGATAAAATATAATTAGATCTTAATTTTGTACGTAATATTTGATTATATAAATTTAAATTATTCGATTAAATAAATTTAATTTTTAAATTACTAATAATTAGTATAAGAAACTAATCGTAACACTAAAAATATATTTAAATATTTAATTAAATATTATTAACCATTTTTTTCTCTCAATATATTGTGATATCGTGACAACAAAGTTTTGATTAATGTTATAATTTTGGAGGTCACCTCTGAAAATTATATATTTCTGTCCGTTGAGATTTTCAGATAAAATCATTCATTTATCAAAGCTTTTAAGGAATCTATATCATCCAGGCACAAGAATATTATAGTTTCTGAATAAGTTACAATACACAAACAAGACCTCTGACAGGCCCGCGTGATCGGTTACAGTGAAATCCAAGATCTGATCACTAGATCTATTTAGCTTGTTGATCTACGAACAGTTATAATTATCTTATGTTTGAGTATACTAGATCTATTTAGCTTGTTGATCTACGAGCAGTTATAATTATCTTATGTTTGAGTATACCATCAGCTAGAGTCAATATAAATACATCTCAATAATCCTCTCCGCTGTCTTATCCTTCTTCACTCACATCTTCTCCACTATGCTTTCATCTATTTCACAGAGAAAACTGACTAACAATCGATGCCTCACCAACTGTGGCTCTCTACTTAAATCAGAAGAGGTGAATAATAGATAATCAACAAAATCAAATTATTCGAATCAATAGTATAAATTAAATCTAAAAAGTAATTTTCTAAAGCTAAACACATATTAATTACTTATCCACGTTGCTATGTAAATTATCATAAAAAGTCCTAATGTAATAATATAATAATAATATTTTTATTATAAAAATATTGTAACATGTATTAAAAAGTTTATCTTATATTAAGAATTATTTTTTATTATAAGAATCTCTCGACAAAAAACGACAATGATCGATGAGTATTACATCAAACTCTTATTTTCTTAAAATGTTGAAAAGTATAATTAAAATATTTAATTATATTTAATTCAGTAGAATTCGTAAACTGTTCGATTCAACGAGACTTACAAATTATAATAAATAATTAATTAAATATATTACACCCATTTAAGAGTTTCCACGGCTTTATGAAAAGTTATGTAGATCATGAATTGGCCTAATCTTAAAATTGGTTAACCCTGAATTGTTTAGCATGATAATATTTTGCCTTAAATAATATTTAAGATTTAAATTTTAGTATAAAAAATAAAGTAAAATAATTATAAGGATTGATTCTATAATAAACTTTTATAGTATTCAAATCAAGATTAACAAGCAAATACATCAGATATCATAAGGTTCTATTAAAAAATTAATGTTTATAAGACAACTAAAAATAATTTGTATTTTATATCAATTTTATGCTCATCAACTACTATAATATATATTATTTAACTAATCTTTCTATTTAACTAAAAATAATCTTTTTTGTAACACGTATTTTTTTCAAGATTTGATTTCACATTTTTTTTTCTAGAATCATATGACACTTATTTAGTTATTATATTGATCTGTTGTTGGATATTGAAAGGTGCTCACAAGGATCGAACATAGATTATGATTTAGTTGTGATAAACATAGTTTGTTAACGAAACATTATTGTTATATGTATTTTTATATTAGCGTTGATGGTGTTTATTCTTTACTGTCAGCAATGATGTTTATATCTGAATGAGACATCGTTATTCTTAAGTGATTAGTTTGTATAGTTTAATTATTTTAATAAAAATATTTGACTGGTGTTATTAATTTGTTTTTATTTTATAAATTAAATATATAATTTCAAATATTGTTTTCTGTATTTAATAAAATTAACAACTACTAGTAATTGATTAGAAAAATCGACTTTAAAATTCAAACTATAGATTGGTATCTCAACCACAATAATTTGTCAAACAAAAGTTTATAAATTTTATAAATATTTTTTTATATTTTATAAATATGTAAAAATTGTATATATTCCAATTCAAACTTTCCAAGTACGTTCAAGGGTCAATGGGTGGGAGAAAAAGAAACCAAACATTTTCTGGTTTTTCTCAATTCGTAATGCCATCTTAAATACGATCTCAGAATTGTTTAAGGACAAGTCAATAATGGAATTATGATTAACAAGTCAATAAGTCATAATGTAAAAAATAAACCCCTTTTGGCCTATATTTTTTTTAATATTTTTGCCCTCAACGTTTTACTTTAGACAAAGAGTTTATCTATATTAGATAACACACGGTTAACGTTATGATATAAAAGCCTTTTTTAACCTAAAATTAAACGTGAAGGCTAAAATACCCACACACAAAAAAGAACAAGGGACAAAGTGATTATTCTGTCAAATGTTAGGAGTTTTTTTACCTTAAAATAAAATATTAGATTCGAAATACTCCAAAAATATAATAAGGGGCAAAATTACTATTTTGATAAAGACTGGGATTAATTTTGACATTATGCAAAAAAAATGGGAATACTTCTAGATTTTGATGTTTGACGAAAATATTGGGAGGAAAACGCCGAAGACCGCGCCTGGAGTCAGTGGTTTCTGCCAACTGCTAATATTACATAAAGATGAAGTCAAATTAGATTATAAAATTTGGTGAGCCAACTCTTCCATTATTATTTAAATAATTAAATACGCAAGTTGACTCTCATTTTGTAAATTAATAAAGCTATTTTACCCTCCAATTTCCATCCCTTCTTTGGTTATTTCCTTTTTGTCTTTAATAAATAATTAGTCAAAAATAGAGGAGTGGAACTTTCCGATTCCAGACCACAATCATTAAGAGATTCTTGAAAGGTTAATTTCTACTCTTAACCTTTGCATATACATAAATTACAATTTTAATCCATTCTAGTCCTTATATTTTTCAAATCTTCACTTGTTTTGATTTCACATTAAAAAAATAAAAAACTTTTTTTATTAAATATTACTTCAAATTCTAATTAAAAATAAAGTTAAATCTTATAAAAAGTATACTAATAAAAAATATGCAATGATTAAATTTAACTAGTGAAGAATTCTTATGTAAAAAATATTCTTGATAATTAAGTTTGTTTATAAGTTTTAAAAATTATGAGAGATAATTATTTTTGAAAAAATACAATATTTGTAATATGCAACTTTTGAGTAATGTATTGATGTCAAAAGAGTAGTTGGTATACATCATATATATGCACGGACGAAACCAAGATTAAACTACGAGGGAACAAGTTGTTTAACTTTGAAATAAATAAAGTCTTTAAAATTGAATAAATCATAAAATTTAAAGGAGTCATGATTTAATTTCAATAGTTTTTAAAATTGAAGAGTCCTAAAGAGTAAATTAAACCCCCAAAAAAATTAGAAGTCAAAATTTGATTTTAAAGATAAAGGAATCCTAAAATTTAATTAAACCAATAAATTTTGTGAGGGGGTAAGGACTTAATTATACTGATTTCAAAAGTAGTAGCCTAAAACTCCATCAAAATTAAATGTCTCTTCCACTTCGATGGTAGCTTCGTCCCTAGATACATACATGCGATGTCATATATTTGTATTTTTTATGGTCTATACATTCATACTAAATTTATGCTTTTTATCTATTAATTTGTGATCTCTTATACGTATTTTATTTTACATCAATATTCATTTTAATATTTTTTTTTAAATTTGTAAATTCTGAATAGTTTTGTTAAACTCATATATTAAATATATTTTAATCTAACTATTACAATTACTTTTTTACATCTCTTTGATCTTCCCTTCGCATTTTACTCGTTCAAGTTTCTATTATTCACTCATTCAACTGCTATGAAAGAGTGAACACTTTTTTTCTTCTTAAATAACTTATGTTCGTATTTGTTTTTTAAATATAAAAATATTCCAATTTGGGGGGGGGGATGAGCTTAGGAAAGAGTATTTAATAAATTTTGACAAGAGTGAGCGGCTATGGAGGGACCGTAACACAAAACCAAGTAACTACTCATTTGAAAATGTCAACGCCTAGTTTACCAAATCCGACGCAGAAAATGGAAACAAAAGCATAAAAATTTCATTCCCCCGCATGAACCAAAATCTAAACATTTATTCTCTTCTGATTTTTCGCACAGCTCTTTCATGGCTGTCACGTTTCGGATATTGATTCTTCTCCACCTCTTCCTTCTGTTCTTCATCTCCGTCTTCCCTTTCTCTTCTTCCCAGGGTTCACCTCAAAACATTGAAGTCTTCTACCCAACTCAAACTCCACCGCCAATCGCACCCATCCCTGAAGAAAGACCGCTGGACTCACCGCTTCCGCCGCCGCAGCCATCGACGTCGTCATCTTCGGGGAACGACAGCAATCGTACTATTGCGAAGGCAGTAGCTGCGACCGCAGGAAGCACGATTGTTATTGCCGCGGTATTCTTCTTTTTGATCAGAAGATATGTTCTTGCTCAGCGTGGAAGGGAGAGAGTTCGAGATAGTTCCCAGCCGAGAGTGCCCCCAGATGAGTTCGGTAGAGTTAATGGGAATATAAAGGGCTTAATCGTTGATGAAAATGGCTTGGATGTTCTTTATTGGAGGCAGCTTCAAAACGGAGGTACCATAAATGGTTTCCGCCGAGAGGTTTTGCATGTTCCGAAAGATGAAGAAGAAGAAGAAGGCGGTGGTAGAATGGTTCGGAAAGGTAGTCGAAGCAAAAAGGTGGAGCCTGCAAGTGAAATTCCTTTGCTTCGTGGGAAATCTTCAACTTCCCATGTTCCACCACCTGAAGATGAAGATTCGAGTGAAAATATGAGTCCTTTAACTCCTCCGCCGTCGTCTCATGGAATTGCTTTAAAAGCTGTTGAGAAAAGAGAAGCTCCGGTTCAATCAAAATTTGCCCCTCCATCGTCATCTCAAGGGATTGTTTTAAAAGCTGTTGAGAAAATAGAAGCTCCAGTTCAATCAAAATTTGCACCTCCACCGTCAATGCCACCGCAGCCTCCACCTCCACCAAATAGAACTACAGCAGCGCCACCGCCTCCTCCGCCACCGGTCCCAGCAAAAGGCCCTTCGCCGCCACCACCTCCACCTAAAAAACCGGGCGGTTCAGTTACGTCCTTTAAACCTCCTGCAGCGGCCAGATATAAGTCCGGTAGTGGTAAATCAGGGGAGACTGGGGAGTCTTCTGGAGATACCGATAATAGTCAGGTGAAATTGAAGCCATTGCATTGGGATAAGGTGAACAAGAAGAATGCTGATCATTCCATGGTATGGGACAAAATCAATGGCGGATCTTTCAAGTAAGTTTTAAACTTTTCAATTTCTCGAACTATTTAGCCGATTTTGCTCTTATTTCTAACCAAAAAATGCAATTGATTCTTCAGGGTTGATGATGATCTTATGGAAGCTTTATTTGGATATGTGGCTACAAATAAGAAATCCCCTACCGGTGAAAAGAACACAAAGAGTGCTAACACTAGCTCACCGGCACAGATCATGATTCTCGATCCCCGAAAATCACAGAACATTGCGATTGTGCTTAAATCCTTAGCTCTATCTCGTAAGGAACTGCTTGATGCACTCAATGAAGGCCAAGGTCTTGAGGTGGATACTCTTGAAAAGCTCATGAGAATTTCCCCCACAGAAGAAGAACAGTCCCAAATCCTTGATTTCGATGGTGATCCGACGCGACTCGCCGATGCCGAGTCGTTTTTGTTCCACATTTTAAAAGCTCTTCCGTCGGCTTTCACACGCCTTACTGCTATGCAGTTTAGATCGAATTACGACTTGGAAATTCTCCACATGAAGGAGTCTTTACAAACTCTAGAGTTAGGGTGCAAGGAGCTTCGCTCTCAAAGACTGTTTATGAAACTCCTTGAAGCGATACTGAAGGCCGGCAATCGCATGAATGCCGGGACTGCCAGAGGCAATGCTCAAGCTTTTAACCTTACGTCGCTGCTTAAGCTCTCCGATGTTAAAAGCACCGACGGGAAGACTACTCTACTCCACTTTGTGGTCGAAGAAGTAGTCCGGTCAGAGGGAAAGAAATGCTTTATCAGCCGAAGTCACAGCTTGAGTCGGTGCGGCAGCAGCCGAAACAACAATAACACCACTGGCAATTTGACGGTAAAAGTGGACAGAGAGAAGGAATATGTAACACTCGGATTACCAGTGGTAGGAGGCCTCAGTTCCGAGTTCACCAACGTGAAGAAAGCAGCCACAATAGATTTCAACACATTTTCAGGCACTTGCTCGGCTCTTGCTGCTCGTGTAGCGGAAACCAAGCACCTTGTATTGCAATGTATGGCTGATGGAAAAGGGGGATTCGTGCAAGAAATGAAAGGGTTTGTCGACGACGCCGAAGAAGAACTGAATGTGTTAAAAGAGGAGCAAAGAAGAGTGATGGATAACGTAAGAAGAACAACGGAGTACTATCAAGCAGGGGCTTCAAAGGATCATTTCCAAGTATTTGTCATCGTTAAAGACTTCCTCGGTATGGTTGATCAGGCCTGTGTAGAAATTGCAAGGAACCAACAAAGGAGGAAGTCATCAATTGCAAATCATGGACCACGATCACCAAATTCACAGGAGTCAAGAACCAAAATGAGGTTCCCAGTGTTGCCACCAAATTTCATGTCAGATAAGTCGAGGAGCAATTCCAGCGAATCGGATGTAGATTCATGAACTCGAAGAGATATTGGTTGTCAAGGGCAATGTACATAAACCTCATACGAAAGGTGTAGATTCGGAACAACTAGAGGAAATTGTTTTTAAAATTCTTCCATTTGTTTTGTACCAAGTTTTGATGAAAGTGGTAAATAATATTCAAGTCTGATTTTTCTGATTCAAACTTGTTCCATTGAGCAAGCACCGCATAGAAAACGTCATGCATTAGTGAAACTGATATTAGACAAATATGCAGAAGAATAATCATAAGAAAAAAAATCTAGGATTTGCACATACGGGCTATTGTAGAGCAGAAAATAACATTGAATGTGATGGGGAGTATTCTACCACTAAGCAAAGTTTCAGAGTTTCAATCATCTGTGAAGCGTTATATCCACTTGTCCAGTACAGAAAATTAGAGCCGAAATTCACAACCCAAAATATACAAAAGGAAAAAGTTGTATCATCATACCAATGGCTATTTGTTGATAAATTTCAATAGAAATCGAAGAAATCATGACCGGCTATCCCATGGTTTTCATAGCTTTGAGACTGTCAACTCAATATAACTGTTTGATGAGCAAACAAAATGAATCTATTTTTAAACGTAAAGGGTTCCAAGCAACGGCCTATTGGCTCAATTGGTTAGAGCGTCGTGCTAATAACGCGAAGATCGCAGGTTTGAAACCTGCATGGGCCATTTGAATTGTATTTTCATTTTTTTTCCTTCACATGAAATGGTGACGTTTGATTCTAATTAGTTAGCTATTTTGTTCTCTGAGACCTCAATGGGCCTATTTGGATTCCCAAGGAACGACTTCGTATATGCATAAATAATAAAATTTGTTCTATTTCTTGTTAATTAAGAGTCGAAGAATAAAAGATTGGGATAGAAGTAAGAGTATAATTCTATTAACTAATTTTCTCTTCAATTTCCTAATTACATAACCAGAGACGCCACTTGTTACTTGTAATTTGGCGTACGTAAAAAGAAAGATGAAAAGACCAGGAAATGTATGTGTACTTTTATTTTCTTGGCACAATCTAAATTGTTATGCCTTCCTAAAATACTATATATATATATATATATATATATATATGTATGTATATTATCACTAGCCCCGGTAGTTTTCTCAAACATGAAATCTTAACTGCCATAACCCAAAACTTCAAGCAATAACCCATATATTTATTAAATAAAAACCAAACTGCTCTCGTTATAATAAACAAAAATGGCATAAGTAAAAAGCTTATGCAAGAACTAACTATGGCTTTACCATGAAATTTCTAATGTAGTTGAACCAAGACACCGATGCTGCCAACCCCACCACTTTAACACTTTTTTTACACAATCATTTCATGTTCTATCGTTTCTTTGGGGGGGGGGGGGGGGAAGTTTGTTGCGTGTCTAAGATGTATTACATGACACCATCTCATGTCTAAATCCAAAGAAATACTGTAACCCCCTAGACCCGGTCTGTGAGTTATACCCAAACCTAAGTGGTCACATATCCCATTCAGAGGTTTTTTTTTCCACTTATAGGACGATAAATATAATATAGAACATAATATTAATAATACAAATATGTCCAAAACGATAATAAAATACATGTCACCAAACATAACCGAAAAAAACATATAGAAATATATGTTCGTACAAAATAAAGTTGTTGATTTCTCCTGATGCCAAATCTGCTAGCTTATGGTCTGCTGTTATCTGAAAAATGGTAAAAACTACAGAATGAGCTAAAAAGCCCAGTGTGTTCCATACAGTGTATATAAAAACATACTGATAAAAATATTCCAGTAAAGTCGGTTTATGCAATCATGTCGTAAAAAAAAATATGAACACTACCCCCAGCCCATCACAACAGAATGTGTAGGATCCCCAGAACCATACACCCAGCCCACACAACAAATAAGGCCCTGAGCACAAAGCCGAGGAACCTACGGATATACTTCCTTCAACGATACCCCCCAATGATGGAGATGTTCATGAATGTATTTGAATGAAAACAATGATTAAATCTTTAAAACATAAAAGTGTTCATGCTTAACAATAATATACAGAAATACGGAAATCAGAAGACAAGTCAGTAGTATACAGAATTTCAGATATCGAATATTCAATATTCAGAAGATCGGTATAAAATACCGTAACCAGAATTCATTTCAGAAATATGTGGCAAATCAGATGTCATATACATAATGTTCAGATGTATATTTTAAAACAGAAATAATTAACACTGTCGGGAAACACACCTGTAACAGTCTGAGAAATCAGATAGGGAAGCCTATTGCTGGGTCTGTCGATCACGTTCTACTGCAGCGCTAGATCCTACGAATTGGAAAAATTCATATTGGAATCCTAATATAAATAATCTAAATATTATTTAAATAATATACAGAAACCTACGGGTAATTCTCGTAGTACGCGGTTCAGGCTGATCTAACGAACGGATAATACCGGACCTAATTGATCCTTGTTCAGGTGAAACACGAGTACCTTCATAAAATATTTTATTGAATAAATCCTTGACCAAATCTCATTTAAATAATCAAAATATTAAAATATTAAGCCTTTTGGGTTTACAAGCTCGATTCGGGAATTTCGGGTCAGAATTTGGCAAAACGGACTTCGGAATCAAAATTCAGGACGTCGAAAAATATAAAGTATGACCTTCCGAAATTTTGAATTCTTGGTCAAAATTAAAGTCAACGGGGTTGACTGACGATTTGGAGACTTTCGGGTTTGAATTTAGCAAAACGGACCCCAAAAACGGATTCGGAACGTCGAAAACTATCAGGATAGGTATTCTTGGTCAAAAACAAAGGTCGTCTAATAGCTGGTCAAAGCCGGTCAAAGTTCTGGTCAAAGGAGGTCAACAAACTGTCAAACATTTTACACAAATAGCACCCTTTTTTAAAAAATTACCAAAATAGCACCCATTTCGAATTAATTCCCAGAATAGCACCAAAACCGAATTAATTCCCAGAATAGCACCGGTCAACGGTCAACGGGTCGGGTCAACGGGTCGGGTAACGGGTAAACGGGTCGTGACCGGTCAAACCGGTCAAACCGGTCAAAACCGGTTCAAAACCGGTTAAACCGGTCAAAACCGGTTTCCAGCGTTCACTCGCCTGCGGCGGCGCGTGTGGGCGCGTGCGACGTCCTCCGGGGCTCTAAAAATCACGGAAAAATTTCTAAAAATTATTTTGAGCGATTTCGAGATACTTACAAAGATCGGTTCAAATTTTTGAACGGCGGAGAGCTCGATTTCGACTTGGCCGAATCTTTGACTGATCCACCTCCCCACGCGCCGCCGTCAACGGAGATCGAGGATGACACCGGCGGACTCGGAACGGCACAAGGAACACGATGGTGCGGGAGGTGTCGTAAAAGGAGCAACGATCGGCGATGAATTTAGGATTTTCTAGGCGATTGAGCTTAAAAAAAACGTCGATGCTTTAACTTGAAATTCACGACGTTTGGCAGCGTTTCGCTTCAATTAAATTGAAGGGTTTGTTCTCGCTTGATGATGAACACGATGGTGGTTTAAATGACGATCGGAATTCGGACGGCGTCGGGATTATCGTCGGCAGTTGAGGTTGGGAGAGGGAATTTGGGAAGAATTGGTTTCTGAAATCAGAAACCAATTCACGTATATAATAGCCCTTACCTAACATTTTAGGGTAAATTCAGGGCTTGGTCCCTGAATTTTCTTTAACTCTTAAACAAGCTTCAAGTTTTAAAAACTTCCAATTTAGTCCCCAAATTTTCACCAATTACTCAATTAAAACCTCAATTCCCAATTAAATATTATTTTAAAATTTTCGGGTTGTTACAATTCTCCCCTCTACAAGAAATTTCGTCCTCGAAATTACCTTATGAAAACAGATGAGGAAATTGGATCTCCATTGACTCCAATGTCTCCCAAGTAGCTTCTGAGGGGCTACTATTACTCCACTGAACTTTGACCATTGGAATACGCCTATTCCGAAGAACTCGCTCATCCCTCTCTAAAACCTGAACAGGCTCCTCTCATATGACAAATCAGGTCTCAGCTCTACCTCATCAACCTGAATGATGTGATCTGGATCTGGACGGTATCGCCTCAACATAGAAACATGAAAAACATTATGAATACGACTGAGCTGGGAAGGCAACTCAAGCTGATAAGCAACAGGTCCAACTTTCTTCAGAATACGATACGGCCCAATAAATCGCGGACTCAGTTTACCTTTACGTCCAAATCTCAATACCTTCTTCCATGGAGATACCTTGAGAAAAACCTGATCTTCAACCTCAAACTCGATATCCTTACGTCGCTTATCTGCGTATGACTTCTGCCTATCAAATGCCTCTCTTAAGCGATCACGGATCAGTCTGACAGTATCTTCAGTTTCTCGAACCAAATCTGGACCCAAAGTTTTTCTATCATGTAACTCTGTCCAACATATAGGAGTACGACATCTACGTCCATACAGAGCCTCGTACGGTGCCATGCGAATACTTGCCTGATAACCATTATTGTAAGCAAACTCAGCTAATGGCAAGAAATCTTCCCAACTACCACGGAAATCAATCACACAGCCCCGTAACATATCCTCCAACACCTGAATCACTCGCTCAGACTGTCCATCAGTTTGAGGATGAAAAGCTGTACTGAAATTCAAACGAGTACCCATAGCCTCATGCAAAGCTTTCCAGAACCTGGAAGTGAATCTCGGATCTCGATCAGATATGATAGACAACGGACACCATGAAGTCTAACGATCTCAGAAATGTACAATTTAGCCAGTTTATCCAGAGAATAATTAACTCGAATAGGGATAAAGTGCGCTGACTTGGTGAGTCGATCAACAATCACCCAGATAGAATCCTTTTGGAAGGAGTTAGAGGAAGACCAGTAACGAAGTCCATCGTAATACGCTCCCATTTCCACTCAGGAATCTTAATTGACTGTATAATCCAGATGGATGTTGGTGCTCTGCCTTAACCTGCTGACAAGTCAAACACCTCGCCACAAAATCTGAAATATTTTTTCATACCAGTCCAAAAGTAGCGTTCTTTGAGATTATTGTACATTTTGTCCCCGCCAGGATGCATGGCATAAGGACTATACTATGA